GTTCGCGCACAATTCCGAAGGTTCCGGCCTCAAATCCAGCGGGGTGCAGGAGTCGTGGATGTGCACTGCCACTGATGAGTCCCATACCAGGACGAAACGGCCGTGTTTCAGTGCTTCCAGGTTTCTAATGTTGTTGGTCTAACATTGATCGATTCATGGTTTCAAAAATGTATAAACTTGGTAGTCCAGAGATTAAGCGTTTGCGCATGAGACCGAAAGTTCTACATTCGATCCCCAATGGCTGGGTCGTAAATGCATGGTGGCAAAGAGATTCATATTAGAAAGAAAACAACTGTTCGACGTTTCCATGCTTGTAATGACCATGGTCATGTTATTATTCATAAGATTTAAAAGTTTTCATTAACTATCAATGATAATTTTCACTGTAGCTTCAGATTCTTCAGTGATGAACACTACCAACTACCCAGGAAGGGATTAAATTCAATATCGTCTAGTCTTGTTGTACGTCCACATTCATTTCGAGTCCGTTCATATTTAATTTGGTTAAGCCTTTTGATTAACTTATTTATCTGAGTCATTGAGAAAGCAATAACTTATACGTAACATTGGCTTCTATTATTGTCTGGTTTGTATGACGTGGTATGGCTGAACATTGCTTACCGCCTACGCGCATATTCATCCGATTAGCTTTCAAGTTAACCTCTCAAATATTTCGATGACTCAGTCATTTTCCTGTAGTATGTGTATGTACATTTTGATCTCATTAATTCATTCGCTCACTGGCTAGCTTGCTTACCCCTCTCTCCGTGTGCCTGTGGCCTGATGGTCTAATTGTGGTGTGAGAAGAAAACACATTTTCAACACTTCGTATTCACCTTCTGATTTATAAAACAGTCAAGCGCTATTTAATCACGATTGTCTGAACGAACAAATTACGAAGTCTAAGCACATGTTGAATACTGACCATTGACTAAACTAGTAAGACACTGATCACCAAAACATCATACATAGTAGTAAGAACGTTAAAATTTGTAATAAAAAAAAATAAATAAATAATCAAAAGTGACCTAAACTATGATGAACTTTATATCATCAGTAGCATTTTTGCTTTTCAATAATTATTATACTGTTTAAAGCTAATCTATGCCAAAACTTCATTTAAACTTCTCACGCTAGTCAATTTATTATATGTAGTTTATTGAAACAAACTCTATATACATTGTACATATCACATAGGTATTTTTTTTTATTTTAAAGCAAAAATCATTTAATACAAAATAGAACAATTTAATTAGTGTATACATTTATTGACAATATTCACATTGTAGATAATACATACCTTTTTTTTTAAATAAAAAAAGAACTAATTAATTCAATTATAAAGTAAAACAAAAAAGTTTCTCAACTATCAGCAGTGAAATAATTAGATGGTGCAGTTTGAATGTTAGTTAGTTAGTTAGTTAGTTAGTAAGTTAGTTAGTTAGTTAGTTAGTTAGTTAGTTAGTTAGTTAATTAGTTAGTTAGTTAGTTAGTATTATTATCCATAAGGTATTCATAAGTTCATTTCATATTAATAATATTGTGGTGCGTGCTACTTATAAGTATTATATGACGTGAGTGAAAACGTAATGTGTGGCAGCAGAAGATGGAGGAAAATCAAGTAAGGAAGAGTTAGAACACAATGGAATTAGTATGAAACTCATGAATAGTAGTGACAGTGGATTGATGTTTTGCAACAGGAACAGTCCAGTTCGATATAATGAACTGATATTTTGCAAACTAACGATTTACGATATGGTTTTCCGATTTTACTGATCATAAAATAGGAATGAGTGATCGGTTTGTTCGGATTAAATAAAATGAAGTTGAGTCATATCAACATTTCAGTACAATAAATCAATATATTTGTTTTGATTGAAATTGGAGATATGAATCTAGAACATGGTTGACTTAATAATGATGACCAAAATATTATGGTATAGTAAAGTAATTGACAGCAACAATCTTTAATTATAGTGCTTTCTGTTAGGAAATTCTCGTAATCTATTTTGATTATAAAAAAAATTTGATCATTGGAACCGATAATGGCTTATAATTGATTTAAAGGAAAAATTACTCAAATGATATTCTAAGAAAATTATTTGATTAATACAAGAAATTATTACAATTAGAACGTATTGAATTGAGTGAAAAATAATGGGCGCTTTTAAATGTCTAACTTCAAAAATAATATCTTTCAAAATATCAACGGCCAGTGTGATCTACTCTGTGTATTGAAATTAATCATCAGAATGATCTTAATGTTTAAAATTACACACTGAATTCGAAACATAACGAGGTTATTTTTCGAAATACTATATGAGTGTTATGCTCGTCAATTGATATGCTTGAATGCTATTACGAGTTCACCTTAGTCGGTAAAGCAGAGCGAAGACAATATGATCCAGTGACACGATAGGCTACTCTAATCTGTACGTCACATGACCCCACTAAGTAGAGGAAGAAATTTTGAAACTAAACCATCTAATTATTTCACTGCTGATAGTTGAGAAATTTTTTTGTTTTACTTTATAATTGAATTAATTAGTTCTTTTTTTATTTAAAAAAAAGGTATGTATTATCTACAATGTGAATATTGTCAATAAATGTATACACTAATTAAATTGTTCTATTTTGTATTAAATGATTTTTGCTTTAAAATAAAAAAAAATACCTATGTGATATGTACAATGTATATAGAGTTTGTTTCAATAAACTACATATAATAATTTGACTAGTGTGACAATTTTAAATGAAGTTTTGGCATAGATTAGCTTTAAACAGTATAATAATTATTGAAAAGCAAAAATGCTACTGATGATATAAAGTTCATCATAGTTTAAGTCACATGTGATTATTTATTTATTTTTTTTTATTACAAATTTTAACGTTCTTACTACTATGTATGATGTTTTGGTGATCAGTGTCTTACTAGTTTAGTCAATGATCAGTATTCAACATGTGCTTAGACTTCGTAATTTGTTCGTTCAGACAACCGTGACTAAATAGCGCTTGACTGTTTTATAAATCAGAAGGTGAATACGAAGTGTTGAAAATGTGTTTTCTTCTCACACCACAATTAGACCATCAGGCCACAGGCACACGGAGAGAGGGGTAAGCAAGCTAACGAGTGAATGAATTGACGAATTAATGAATTAATGAGATCAAAATGTACATACACATACTACAGGAAAATGGCTGAGTCATCGAAAATAATGCATCAACCAATAACAGTTAGCGCTAAACCACAAAATCCGAATTGAGGACCTTAATCAAGTAAGTTCTGGGAATCTAATGTACCTGACAATGAGTAAAACTTTAAGTTGACTATGTATTCTTGATTCCTTCAATACGAGATTGGAAAATCTCAGTAAATATATTAATCGTACGTGGCGTTTCCACTTAATATTTCACAATGCGAAAACATAAGTGATTATTATATGCTTAATTTCAAAAAAAGGATGGAAATCATTTTCTTCAGTTATCATATAATTACATAATTATCCATTTTCAGTTATATGAATAGAATAAGTAAGTGATCGTTTACAATATTTTGGTTGATTTAGATTGACTTTAACAAAGACTGGTTTCAAATAATCGAAAAATACTATTACTACGACTGCTCTCCAGCTCACTCAATTGATCTATTTGCTTTTTACACTTAGGACGTTAATTTATATATTTCTAAGAGCATTCAGTACATAATGTTGCGTCTTTATTTGTCTATGTGTGTATAAGTGTACATATAAAAAGATGTTAATTAGTAAACAATTTAGAAGAAGCAGTTTTCTTTCTCTTCAATGGAAATAAACAAAAGTAATATATTTTCAATTAGAGTCATGGACACTAGTGTATTTTTAAACATATGAAATCATCAGTCAATCACTGTTAGACCATCATTAGAAACCCGGAGGCAGTCGACGGCGTTTTGTCCTGGTATGGGACTCATCAGTGGCAGTGCGCATCCACGACTCCTGCACCCCGCAGGATCCGAACTCGGGACCTTCGGTATTGTGCGCGAACGCCTAACGATTGGGCCACTGGGCGTGACCTTACCCATTTGTCTTCGGTAGTTACTGCCTACATCCGACAGGCTTGAACTCCACTAGTCACGTTTCCTCAACTAGAACTCCGAGAATTTCCTCACGAAGCTAGTCACTAGTGAGCATATTTAATGGTACTTTCAATTAGAGTGGTCTAACAATGACTGATTGATGATTTCACATGTGTAAAAGTAATATACATGAAATTCACAAGAAAAGTTTCGAGAAATTCAACATCACAATCACAATCATATAGATTATTGCAGAATAATGCTCTAAAATGAAATAAAAGCAAAGACATGTGAGTTGAGTATGAAGTATGAGAACATTTTGCATATTTTTGTGATTGATTTCAAAAGTTATCATTGATATACATACCAGAAAGTATATATTCAACAATAAAATGAATGTAATAAAGATTAATCTGTAAGAAAAACTACTGAAGTATTCAATGTCACCTTCTCTCTACTTTCATACTTATTTTCCATTTCGTCATTATAATTAATCTTACTATGTTTAAAACTATTTCAAATGTTCGACTGCTACAACTTTATCAACAGGTTACAATTCGTAAGTCAAATAAAAACTAAGCTGGAATTTTATGTTATATCAATATCTGGATGAGTAATAGTAGGAGAAGTTAAACAATCAGTTAAAAAACAGACGAAGATGCTATTCGGCCTCAATCAAATTAGGTAATAATGAATGTCTGAGTAGTCATTCTCTGATTGGTCAATCAAGACTACAAAAAAAATTATTGGTAAGTTATTATATACCGAACAATATTTAAACTGGCCAATTGCCAATTCTTACATACAACATAAATAAATAACTCATTCGAACAAATTAATGTACCCTCTTCAATAATCTCGTAACTTTTAGTGGAAACAGAGAATTTTGTAAGACTATTAACTGTCATAATCATTATCAGCTGTTCACAATTGAACTACAACGACAATGAAGTGGATAAGTAAAATCGCTTATGGAACAGGTCAGATGTTGAAAGATCTAGTAGCTGGAGTGATCAGTATATTCTACATCATCTTCTCTGAAGGTTGTATTAATCTGAGCAGTTCACAAGTTGGTGCATTATTACTAATCGGTCAGATCGCTAATGGATTAGCCACACCATTGATTGGTTATTTATCGGATCGACCACTTGGTCAAACTAGAAAATCATCATCACTAAAAAGTTATCAATTGATACCATGTGAAGATGGATATGTCAAGAAGGATAAGCGGTTTTTGAGTCGAATGAAACGTCAATTGAGACTTGGACAGAGAAAATCATGGCATTTAGGTGGATGTTTATTGATGCTTATTGCATTTCCAATGATGTTCGGACAACCGGAATTTCTAGTTCAACTACCGGTTTGGGCGAAATTATTGATCAACAGCATTTTTATGGTTTGTGTTCAGGTATGTTTTGGTGTGTGATTGAATATGCTTGATGTGATATGGGTGGTAGTAATTGTGATTATGAAGGTGCATTTTCGGAATCATGAGTTGTGATTCTAGATATTGAAGTAAGCTACTATGTAGATATTTTCGCAGGATGTGACTGTTTGAAATCCGTGTATATATGTAGACGATATAATAAGAATGCAGAGAATAGATTCGTAGGAACTAAATATCTCTATGTACCGAGCAAGACAAAATGATCGCTAGAGCAATGGTGTTAGTTATTTTCATAGCTAATTGTAGTTGTCATAACTAACCAATCAAATCGTGGTTTAAGCGCCCACCACGTGATCTGATCTGACGCGTCTGTTATAAATGACCTACAAATTGATTGACATTATTATCTTATTATATTGATGTGATTCATAGTTTTATTCATTTCCATACGAGACGCTATATTGGTCGGTATGTCTGCTCGTCTTACTTGGTCACTGTAATTTCTTTATTTATTGTACTAATCTAATTGTTTTTATGTTTAGAAACAGATAAAGTTTAAAGCAAAATTGGTCTTGTTCTAACTATAGCTTTCCCATAGACTCTGTGCTCGCCAGTATTGCGTTTACAGTTCTAGAATTACATCTGTAGGACAAATTAAATCCTACATATTGATTGTTTATATGCTTTCTGTTGTTTTATCATCGCATTTACCTGATATAATTGATGATTAGCATCTGTATCAAGTGAAGTGTGATGAGTAGGCCAAATAGTGTTTTCATACTGATGGCGAATAATAATAAGATTACTGTCAAACTAATCGATTCTCTTCTCATTTATACAATAAACTTTTGCAGGTTGGTTGGGCAGCTGTACAAATTCCTCACTTATCAATCATTAATGATTTAACCGATCAACAGGATGAACGAGTACAACTTGCATCGTTAAGATATTTCTTTGGTGGTATTGGCCATATGGCTATATCGTTAGTAGCATATTTATTTTTCAAATCGGATAGTTCTAATTTGTCACTTCTAAAACTGACAAATGAAACTGTTAAAAATCAAAACGATAGTCAATTATTCACAAAAACGCTAATGACAATTGACACTCTTGCAGAAAGTGAACGAATAGGATTATTCAATAATTCAATTACAAATCAATCAATCAATGTTGCAAAACAGTCAGCTCTACATTCAGAACACAATATAACAATTCAAGATTTGCCTATATTTCGAAACGTTGCACTGATTGTGGCTGGCATTGGATTGCTGTTCACAGTTATCTTCCATTGTGGTGTTCGTGAAGGAAAACCGAGGACACGTCTAGTTTCCGAGATAACATCTTATGACAGTAGGTTAAACATACTAAAACTGCGATTATTTATAAATGTTGTTTTTCGATATGTTGACATATTACAATGGACATAGTCTAATGGGATGATAGAGTATTTAAAGAGAGATTTGTAACGATGAGACTAGTGAAAAATTGGATTTGACTAATTTAACCAATGAAAGTTAGTCGTTCGGTTATTCTTAATTAAATGACGGATAGTGAATTGGTTAATGTTCGGTGGTCTATCAGATAGCACTAAGCTGCGATTGATCTACTGCAAGTTCTCCGCTTTTCATAGGTTGATATTTCATCAAGTGTAAAGTTGGTCTATGTCATGAAATTGTTAGGATATCAGGTCTTCTCATCAAATCACTTCCATAAATCACTCAACTAAATAGTATGTAACTATTATGACCGAACAAATGATAGAATTCTGTTTTAGCGAGTAATATTTATTGTTCTTAGCTTTCGTATACCACAATATCTTAGAAGAAAACCAAACAATGAAATGATTTTCTTTCCGGACATGTGACACTTGTCATAAGACTTAATTTTCATGAATTCATTGTTATCCAGTTAGCACCCGAATTTGAAATAACAACTAGAAGTCGAATATTCCTGTTTCCTATCAATCTCGATTATACTTAATTCATAATGTCAAGTAATTCTCTCAATCTGATTGGAGTATTGGACACTCCTGAACAAGTGAATTACTCCAAACACTACGTTTTAAATGTACTATAAATGGAAAAATGTAGACTTCTTTTCTTATTACTTCAAAGTATAATGTTAACATTTCACGATTCTGACAACGTATTCTCAGACTCACGTCAATGTTCACATGAAATCCAATTGGCTGAATAGTTTCGATTCATGTCAAACAGCTGATTGATATACTTGGGAACAAACAGTATACAGATTCGTTGAAATGGTCATTTTGGAGCAGTTGAATTACACAGTGGATGTGGTGATTTTTAATTTTTACTATCCTATGAAACGCAAGTTGATTATTGAGTGAATTGTACTGGCTGATAATAAAACTCTGTGGTTCTCGGTTCGGAAAGCTTATGAGCAGTGAATTCCTCTCATTTAGTTATTGGCTATCATCGAAAGTGTTTCTCTGAGATTCAACTGCTGATTGACTTTTTCAACCTGGAATAATTTTATTGAACTAAAAATGCATGAGATCAGTGTGTGGAGAATCACTCGAATACTTGTGGTTAATTGAGTAGTGTTGTTTGATATGAAACACATACACATAAATCATATTGGTTACATGTCGTCTCCCATCTATTGTTTCACCTAAGCGTTGTTTCAGTTTATAGGACATGGTATTTTTAGTGCTAAATATAAATGTTCTATAGTAAATGAACTAACATCTACAGATGAGAATCGGTCCATACGACCACGTTGTATACTTTGAATTTAATTGATGTATGTTAATTATTGCAATGTGAAAGCAGTCAAAACTGAACACTTTTTTCTTTCTATCATTCAAGATACTCTAGATAAATTCTCAGAGGTTAATGGAATCAACAACAACAACAATAATAACAACAAATTCCTTGATGTTATTCATGTTGCAGTTTCACGTGTTAAATCAAAACGAAAACGAACTTACAGTCTTTCATCTACACTTCCTTGGTACGCTTGGTTTACATTACCACGATTTTGGCTAAGCTGTTCTATATTCAGTATAACGCGTCTGAATGTAACTGTTTCTTTGGTAAGCAATAGATTTATTGAAACTGCTTAGATAACAAATATCAAAGATATTTCTCTGTACAATATATCGATTAACGATGACTAGATTTGTCGAAAAATACATTCTAATAATAAATAGTTGGGAAATGTCATATTTTTAATTAAATATGCGTCAAAAGTGCATCCTATTAATAAGCGAGGTGAAAATTAATGATACTACTTTTTGAAAATCCGAAAATACACGGCTTCATCAAGCACAAGCATATCAAGAATCAACAAAAATTGACTGGGTTCTTTTTCAAGACAATCCATGCGATTTTTTTAAAAATTTCAAAGAAGTTTAAAATAATGTGTCAGAATCATGATTTCAAGCAAACAAAAATTGACCTAAAACATCGAAACGAAGGATAAATGTATAACCAAACTTGTTTTCTAAGACGAATACAGTTTATTATTAAAATTATTACATATTACTCATACTACTTACTAATAACAAGTAGTCCAGCATAATGTATAAAATAGTAAGCGAGGAAGAAATGAGTATTGATAATGTATTGCAAATTTGACACTCTTTTCGATTGGCTGCCTGCTGAGTGTAAAGTGTTAAGCTGTGTTACGCCTGCACGTAAACACGTCAACTTGATATGCTTGAACTATTACGAGTTTACCTAGTCGGAAACGCGAGAGCGAGGATCGAGGATCTGGGGACACGACATGCTACTCAAATCCGACTATCCCAACCCCATATTGAGTAAAAAAATAAGATGTGATATGAATTAGAACCTGTATTCTACAAGCATCCAGAAATTACAAGGTCTGAGTCCAGAAGAGAATCAGGATCCCGGACTAGGGACTCGGGAATTAACTAATAATTCTCTTAGGATATTGGATGAATATCGTAACAAGCTGTCAGCCTGTAGAACAAAATTTGAGGCTATAGTATTCAATTCTTGTGATAAACATTCCGAAATTCAGTCGAATAATACTTTTATGAAGATACACAGTTTAAGAAAATTACTATCAGTTGGAAAATACTTTGAAAATACTCTAAATTACATAAATAAACCGATATAGTTCGGTTGAGCCTTTGTAAAGATTTCAGTCGAAGTTGATCCATTTACTATCTTTCTGTAATTCATAAGGATTTTAATATTCTTTCACTAGATTCTTGTTATTTACTTATCTCATCTGATATGATATGATCTTTTTTAAATTGAATTTTTGATTATGTTAAATCATGTAATGGTTTACATTGACTGACCATTATGTCTTCTTGATCTGTTTTCAATGATTAAAACATTTTAACTTCAGTCAATTTATTGTTTGATGTCGTCTAATGTTAAGCGGTTGAAAACTCATATAAAATTAGATACTTACTGTATTCTTGTGTTGATGCTCACACCTAAACTAAAACCTCCTACTTTTACAATCACTATTAATAAGTGCAGTTGGTTTTTTCTTATTCGAAACAAAACTAGGAAGTAGTTACATCCTACTGACAAACCATAGAAAAAATTATATCTGAGTCTTGAATTCCGCTTGTAAAAAAACATGTGACTGAAGGCTCAGTTCGAAAAGGAACAAATTATTCCAGTTCTAAATGTTAACAGGGAAAAAAAATTAGAAATACATATTATGGTGTAAATGTCATGAAATAAAATGCAGAATTTACTAATATTTATGCTTTTGTTGTTATTCCTCCAGTTGTATTTGGGTCCATTCTTGTTAAATTCGTTGAAAATGAATAAAAGTTCAATGGTTTCAGTTCCTTTAGTCACTGTCGTTTCCTGTCTGATTACGTCAGTTGGTGTACAAAAGATTACCAAGTTACTCGGGAATTATGTAAGTAAAAGTATTTGACATTTTGAATAACCTTGGAATTAAGTTAAATGTTCAGTAAATAAAAATAATTAGTATTACAGTAATTGATAATGGACAGCAACTTTGTTGACCATAATTTAAACCTCGTCCATTATTCTTTGCTACTCAAATATTCCTTTACCCGTCTGTCTACTGACTGTCTGTTGTTCAAGATTGTCGCCATTATGTATCACTAAATGGTTATTTGACTTTGAAAAATGTCATATAGCAGTTTGTACTACAGGTCACATTGTAGTAATGCACTACAGATTACTGTGTACTCAAATTCTTGTGGTTTTCTAAGTGCCTACGTTCACCGTCTGCATGGTCGATATACGATGCAACATTTGAGGTCAAATTAGACAAGTGATTAAGTTCGGTACTTTCTCCATATGTTAGTGGGACATAGATGGAATTAAAGCATGACTACGTTGCTGCGCGCTGATTGGCTAATTTCCTATCCGATCAGCGCCTGATCGAGTCTTGGAGAACAGGGTAGAAAGTCTCACATTGTTAGCTGCACGCTGATTGACTAAATCTAATCCAGTCGATCACGTGAATAACTATCCAGAAGCTTCTCATGTAATTACTATAAAGAATCTAACGTTGTATCTATTTTGCCTTCGCCATCACCTTTGGCTTCTTATTTCCATTTAACCTTGCAATTTGGAATATAATCTTTTCCTGTTCCACCGTGTTTTTGATTTTTTGAAACTCGTCCAGTGTATTGTGGTCAGAGAATACTAAGCAATAGGAATTATTTAAGCAAGCGTTACAACACCATAAATTTTCAATATCGATAAACTACCGATTCAATACACACCTTTCAATACGACAATGATGAATTTGAATTAGAATAATTCTCTCATTATAAAAGGTTGTTTATTTTTGCGATATGTAACATTAAGTCAAGTTCAATATTTTCTATAGGATTGAAATCGATTTCTCAATTTAATTCATTCATCTTATCATCAACACACAGGTTACCTAATCACCTGAATAAAGTCAACTGATTTGACCACATTCAGTGGATTCCACGGCATTTATTTTGATGAGTTCAACTTTCTTATGTATGTTGGTCAGTTAGTCTCGACAGGTGGCTACACAGAAATAACATAATACTTGATAGATAATGCAAAGGAGTAGACAATGCGAGAGTGGATTTCATCACTGACTGACATCGTCTATAGGAACATGTAAAATCAGAGGGTATTCATTGTACAGATAATTAGTTGTTATTCAAGACTATGCAAAACTAAATTCAGAAACCTACTGTTACTCAACTTGTATTCTCTGACATTGACAAATTAGACATAATTGACAGAAAGCACTATGACAGGGATTCATCCTTATTAAGACAGGTCAACAGGGTGTATTTGATGACTTCACGAAATAAATACTTCCATGTACCAACCATAAACGTTAGCACTGAGACACTAATATTGAGACTGATCACTCAAACATGACATATTATGGGTTTCAAGTATCCAAATGAGAGTTGTGTCAGTTACTAACACATAATGTTTTAAATGATCAATAATTCATTTCCATGGCATTTGGCTTCACCTGATGCAATATATTCTAGGAATGGCCTTCATATTCATATATTGATTTCAAAAAACACTTTAAAGAAATCAGTATGGTTTGTGTATTTTATAATATACTAATGTGAAGAATACGTAAACCTATTAGCTCTTTCAACATGTACATGTACCTCTACAAATTGCAAATGCTTTTTTCAATTTTAGATCGGTTCAGTTGTTGGTGTTCCATTCATCCTTGGTTATTGTACAATTGCATACTTCTTGCAATCAGCTGAAGACAACTTAGCAATTTATTTTGCTGCAGCTATTCTAGGCATTGGCAATACAATCAATAATGTTCGAGCATTGGTTGTGATCACAACGTTGATCGGTGTCAAACAAGTACACACGGCAGCATTTGTTCATGGGATCGCATCATTTGTTGACAAAATCTCAACTGGTATCTTCATACAATGTATACAACTTTTTGTACCTCAATTGACTTATAAGCATATACAAGTGTATATAGTAGGTAGTTTGGCAGTATTTGGTGGTATTCTATCAACAATTGATAATTTTTTTTATTCAGACGCTTCAGAGAGGAAGAATACACCATGTCTTTCTTGTTGTTGTCGACAGACAACCTCATCATCATCTCCGACACCAACGAAATATCAGACTAAAAAGGTTGCTAATCTCAATATCTACTACACTTTATTTGATAGTGTTAGTAATTATAAGGCCGATCATGATAATCATGGATGATCCAATTATTTGTGTACCATCCAATCAAACATCTTATTTTTCGTCACTCTCTCTCTCAATCTTTCACCTGATCGATGTACATTCACACAGTTTCTCTTTCAACGTAATTCTATTTATTATGATGCTTTCCGGAATGAAAACATACTTTTCTTTAATAGTCTACTATCGAACACTTTATTTGACTTCTTTAGTAAATATTTTAATTTTGTATGCATCAGGTTGTAATAATCAGACACGTGATGTGTAATAAATGACCAATGATTTATTTACACTCGATTCTCCGACAGTTTTCTTTATAAACAGACAAAAACCGATGGATTGTAGATAACATGACTTTTGATAAAAACAAGTAGAAATATATTGTTTCATTCAACAAGAATTCTAATTTTACGATTCAATGCTGGAGTGGTCTACATTAGGTGGCGAACAAATGAGAATAAGAGAGAGCAACAGTATTCGTTATATTGTCAACCCATCAGGACAGCCTACGATTAGTTTGTGATTTAATTTAGAGAGATGGAAGATTGTGATAAGTTTTAAGATCTGTTAGGTTCTGACTGAATATTTCAAATATTTTGTGTTAAGTAAAGGTACGCGTTCGAGAAATCAGATGATTACTGGTTAGCAATCTCATCTTATTAAGAAACTTCACTTAAATGCTTATCCATGACTTTCAAAGGGATAGGTCAGATCTTACGATGAATACATAGTTTCTAAATCGTAACATAAGAATCCATCTGTTCATATTTTCGTCCAACTTCAGTCATCTTGTGAAATGGTGCGACCCTCATTTGAAATCATCGATGGTAGAAGGCAGGTAGATCACACTCTATTTGGTTGACTTTACAATTCACAGCTTTGCACTTCAATTCCAAGCGTGTTTTCTTCAGCCAGACGTGTTGTGGAGATTTCGTTGATTGGAGCTTAGTCTCCATGATTCATCATTTTAAATTCTTGATAAGAATATTTTATGGTCCTGTTCGATAAGTCCCTATAAATCAGAAGCATACTTTAATAACTCATAAGGTCAGATTAACAAAACACTTACGGGGTCGATTCAATCAGAAAATGTATAAGGTGCACAGTTATGACTATGTAATCATAGGATGGTTTATCATTAAAACAAATATATTGTCTAATAGATAATAAGTTGATACTTATTCAGTAGATTATATCACACTAATGCTATTATCTTACCACTCATCCCGTCACTGTTATATGAATTTCATCAGCTAGTCAATTAATAAAGACCAGGTCAGTGAAGTCTTGTTTTTGACCAAATAAATTGTCGGCAAATTAAACTTTACATTTCTCAGAAACGGGTATTACTAGTTTTCATTTCAAACTTTTGACTTATATAATCAGTCGAATCAAAAGTTTAGAAGATGATTACCTATGAAAATAGATGATAACCGTGGTTTTATCGTGAATAAACCGAAACGGTGGACTTTAGACAACTAATTTCTAACTTGGTAACCGAAGAGCATTATCATTGTATCATGTACAGATAAACACAACTGAGAAATTATAAACTAGGATAAAATAGCCACCTTAAAGACGTTGAGTTTCTTGGTTCTGAATGGTACATTAAATGGTTCACGTTATGTAAAAATTCAATTTGGCTTGTCAAATAGCTTTGTATTGTCCGAAGAAAACACCTTTACTGCTGTTACATCCTTCTACAGTCAGAAGTACGACTTCACCCTCACATCTTGAGTAGCTGCTTTTAGTCTCATCGTTCTCCAATCGACCTGACTGGCATGGTACAACCTGCAGGAACATATGTTCCAGCCAATATAACTCGGTTGGGTCATCACGATAGGTAAGCCCGACCATCAAGTCAATGTAGCAGGTACAGTCGAGTTTGTATTTCGTATTTAGTGATAATCATTGTTATGATTTATAACTATAATACGAATCAAAGACAACTACATGATCACTTCAAAAACAATCAACATAAACACAGAAATAATAGTTGAAATAAATTCTTCATGAATTGAATACATGATAATAATAATAATAGTGATAACAACCATAAATTGTAAAGTAAAACTTGTCACTTAGTTATAAAGAGAATATCAATGTTTTCCTACTTAACAACACTATAACGATGAAATCGACAACAAAAATAAGCGTCAAGTTAAGTTCACCAACAAAAAATGAAAAACATTCATGTTTTGGAAATTGATTTTCGGTCATTTCTAACTTCTAATTCCCAGTATCTCCTTTAAATAATCAACATTATTCAGATAAAGGTTTTCGATGTTCAATCAGTGCTTTTAAACAAACAATAAATGACATGTAATTAACACAAATCCTAATAAATGTATTCGGTAAATTGCGTCAAATAATACAAGATTCAAAGATGCACAAGTGTCAAAAAACAAAACAACATACACTCAAATACATTTTATATATATATATATATCAATATATATAAAACAAAGTTTTATTTATGATATTTGGTAGAGAGTAATTCTTTGATTTTATTCACAAGATCTGTATACAACACTTCATATTCTTCTCGACTTTGAATATCTCTCAATTTGACAGTGTTACGAGCCAATTCACTTTCTCCTAGTACAACAGCCAATGGTATACCAGTTGATTCACAATATTGTAATTGATCCAATAATTTAGGATGATTTTTATGCGACATTGTAGCCTATGCAACATTGAATGGGTTTTGAAAGTAGAACGATAATTATTCATTAGATTTAAATTTCATACAATCATACAATTTTATATGTAAATAGTCTAAGTGAAGATGAATAATGTTAAAAATTTCCACAAAAAAAAAACTCAAAATTTATATCTGTCACAATATTATTGTTAGTGGGACATAGATGGAATTAAAGTATGACTACGTTGCTACGCGCTGATTGGCTAATTTCCTATCCAATCAGCGCCTGATCGAGTCTTGGAGAACAGGGTAGAAAATTCTCGTATTGTTAGCTGCGTGCTGATTGGTTAAATCTAATCCAGTCGATCGCGTGAATTTCTATCCAGGAGCTTCTCATGTAAATGCTATAAATAAACCAACGTTGTATCTATTTTTGCCTTCTTTGCCTTCGCCATCACCTTTGGCTTCTTATTTCCATTTAACTTTGCTATTTGGAATATAATCTTTTCCTGTTCAACCGTGTTTTTTGATTCTTGGGAACTTGTTCAGTGTATTGTGGTCAGAGAATACTAAGCAATAGGATTTAGCTGGGAATTATCTAAGCAAGCGTTATAACAATTATACCATTCGCATTCAAAGAATGATTAAATATTAAATACATTACTTTTTTTCATGACTACAGATTAGATAGATATTATTAAGAGTTAAATAAAGTGTAAAGTATGAATGAAGACTTAAGGTGTTGATCGAGTTAACATGCAGTGTTGACTTAAAATATGCCGATGACAGTTCTATTTGGTGAAGACGCTGACAAAATGCAGAGTCTTCTGAGTACCTTCTGAAAAAATAAAAGCATGTCTGAGATGCGATTTCCTAACTCGGAATGCGAAATGTCGCTTCAGGATTGGGTCGCATCAGCACCTAGTGATGGAGAGTGAAGTAGTTGATCATGTTGACCGCTTCACTTATCTAGGGAGTCTCATCAGTGCTGATGGCCTGCTGACTGACGAAATCTCAACACGGATACAAAAGACTCGATTGGCTTTTGCCAACTTGCGTCACTTATGGCGTAGGCGAGATATCCGTTTCCTGACTAAAGGACGAGTGTACTGCGCAGTAGTTCGCTCCGTCTTACTTTATGGCTGTGAAACATGGACATTGAGAGTAGAAGATATTCGTAGGTTACTGGTTTTTGATCATAGATGTCTTCGAAGCATTGCTCGTATATCCTGGGACTATCGAGTGTGCAATGCTGTTGTTAGGAAACGGGTGCTAGGTAAGGATGGCAGATCAATAGATGAAGTAGTGAAACTTTATCAGGTGAGGTGGTTTGGACATGTATTATAAATGCCCGACTGCCTCGGTGGGCAATGTTATGTGGTTTAGGAGTGGGCTTAAAGAAAGCCAGCGGTGGCCACACCAAAACATGGCACAAATCCATGAAGTCACTGACAATTGGACTGAGTCATGTTGGTAGATGTAGACTACTACCAGATTAAGGTCCACCTGACAATAGTAATCAATGGTTGGAGACCCTGAATGACATGATTCAAAATCGTTTACAATGGCTTAGGTGCATCCATTCATTGTCTCTTCTAAAATTTTAATCTTCTGAATTACTCATCGCCTTTATCTCTTTGGATTATACTTCTTGAATAATATCTTCAAGCCCTAATCTTCTCCATCACCGCTAATAGTGCTACTAGATCTGCCACTATGGGATTTGAATTGACAATTGCGTCTCTGTTCTAATGTGGTACGGCAACTTGAACTGTTGTATGTACGTATGGAGTTCTGCGTTATAACTGACTGACTGACTGCAATGAATAACATTGCTCTTAAGACAATGATAATGATAATAATGGCTTTATTTAATACTATATGTTTAGTACAATATTTAGTACACAAGCATTAATACTATGTGAGGATATTAAAAAGTTTAAGTGTCTATTACGTAAGTTAATCATTCAATATCTGAGAACAACAAAAACTAATTGCATTAGTTTAACTTTAAAAGTTCACTTTGAATCAAAGACAATGAGCTCAACTGCTATCCTGTTTGAGTCAGTCTATCATTATCAACGTAGAACCTCGTTCAGGATGGATTTCATACCACATAACCACTACGACATCAAGTTAACAATAATTAGAGTAAAGCAAACTGCAGTAATGTAGTAATAATAATAATAATGAAAATGGCTAATCATTATGAGAAAACAGAGTGAAAAGGTATATTTGAAGAAATATTGGAATTCAAGATTGAGAAAATTAAAAAACGATAGCATGAGCAACATTGTGAATGACTTCGATTGATGTCACGCAACGTCTATAGCCATAGGTTGCAGTTACTGCACCGGGTAGTCTACATCTGCTAATATATGGCTCAGAACAACCGACAATGGTTTCATGGAATGATAGTATAGCTTAATAAAGGTTACTGAGGCATTAGGTTGTTTGATTACAATTTCTTTAGTCAATATGGCTAGAACTCATTTTCTAGATATAACAAGATGGTTTCCTTTTTCTAAACAGAATAAGAATATATTTTGTTATTTGCAGTATTAACACTAGAACATTTGAATCGATTAAAAAAACTAAAAGATGAAATGCTTACCTTAATCTTTGCATTCCATAAAATTTGACAACATTGTAAACGTTGCATAATAAGACCTTTGTGAGCTCCAGCGACCATGACTTCAGTTTCCGTTGACCGTAAGCTACATTTACTTTTATCTGAAGAATTAGTCAGAGCTTCTTTAATTGCTAATAATCGTTCGATTCCGAAACTGAAACCAACACACGGCACTTGTGTTCCAGAAGAATCAAACATTCCCACTAGACCATCATATCGACCACCACCAGCTACACTACCAACAGCCATGGATTCACCAGATGCAATAGACTCATCCTCTTCTGATTGTTCTTTGCTTTTCTTATTCTTTTTACTGGACTTTTTTACAGATGAGTTCAGGTCATTTTCATTAGAATCAGTTAATTCTTTATTTGGACAACTTGGATTGTAAGTGAAACCTGTTATGTGGAACAGACAATAGGTTTTATTGAAATATTACACTATATTTTGGCAAGAAAGCGATGAAAGTAAGTAACAAATACATGCCATCGTAGTTATAATAAACCTTGAAATAACGTTTTTTATCTATACAATGATATGATCTATATACATGATGAGTCGGCATCTTACACGTAAAAACGTAATGACAAAAAGGAATCTGGTTCATATGCAATATGTTATGTATAACAATTAAGATAAGCTCAAATTTAACGGACAGAAGATTGTATCAGATATTTAAAAACTACGAGGCAGTAACTGTTAGTCAGTCAGTTAATCATATACAACGTAGAACTTGATACAAGTTTGATTGATGCTGACGCGGTGCGAGAACTTGAACTGATGAATATATGTGCCGGATTTTACGCTTCGTATGACATGCAGTTTTTTTATTGGGAAGGTTTTCTGAAATTTGATTCAATGAAATTAATGAACAGAATGCTAATCGAAAGATGAGACGCAATAATACAATTGTGATGTTTACTCACAAGATCGTTTTGTCGACCTTCCGACTCTGAATGATTAAAAATAGTAGACAAAACCACTAGCCAAATGAATAGTTTTCCATATAATAAAGTAACATGCTTATATATGAAATATGAACACAGTACAAACATGATGTTCTACTAATGACAATTCATAGTTGAAAAATTCTCTCTACTAACCATTAAACCGACTAGAAAGTGTAATAACCACAAAACACTAGATATTTGAGTAAGAGTCACACTCTATCGGTGAGAGCTAATGACACTAACCAAATGACAAAACTGAAGTAGGTCGAGCAGAGTTCGAACTCAGAACACTGTAGTAGAAGGTCGAACACCTTACCAACAGGAAACGAAGTCACGAGAAAAACCAATCTAGGTATTTAAGATCGTCGTGCATGAGAATAAGATTCAAATAAATCCGTAATCAAAAGTGTAGATCGAATGAAATTTGTAAATTTCAAACTAAAATAAGGATTGTTTAATACAGCATTTTTAGTAAGAATTTCACTAGAGGTTTCAATGAGGTAGTGACATGAAGAGGAATAGTTTAAAACATCAGAAACAAGATAAAATTCATTCATTCCTTATTATTTAGCTGGTTTATTGTACTCGTTCGAGAGTAAATAACTTTTTATAACTAGGCTAATCAGCATCGACTAAACTGATAGTTGTGTAATCATTTTTTAAAGCCCTAGTCACTTTTTCTAATAAAAATTTATCTTATTTATTAGACATACCTTTCAGAACAGCTTCATAAATAACTCCAGTATAGTAATCCAATCCGCGCGCCAGACTTAAATCGAAACTAATTCGCTCTTGGATGCCAAGTGCTTTACAATAATTCAATAATAATCTCATTTCCTGTAAAGCAGTCTTAGCTGATAGTTGATTATTAAGATGCTCATCCAACTCGAGACGTTCAACTAGATCCATACCCCCAACTAACTGAACATAGGTACCAATTTTATCTGCAGCTTCAGTTGACAACCCTTTATCTTCACATAATTCTCGTCTAACATCTTCCCAGGGGATCTAGAAAAAACAATCAGATGAATGTGACTCATAGACAAGGTTCGTGAACATAACGGTTAGTGTGAATATACTTATTTGAATACATAAAACATTCTGATAAATAATGCTATTGCACAAATAAACAGACAAACTTTAAATACATATAACTAAAAGTAAATTCAACCGTCAAAATATGAAAGTAAAGCTTGAACGGGACGTAAATAGTTTTAGGATATTTGGTATTTCGTAACAAATAAAAAGCAGTCACAAAATGTTTTAGATCGATAGGTAAGTTATTTGCCAACAAATGTGGCTTACTTAACATCAACATCTTCAGTAAATGTCTTAACATAAATAGTAATTGAGTGAAAAACCCTTGATGAAATAAACTGTTTATTCCATCAGTAGTAATTTGATTTGCGCAATAAATCTGACTGAAATTATTCTGTAGGATTCAGTTGCAAATAGCGTAACCATATTCAAAAGAAAATGTGCAAGCTCGTCGTAAAGAGACACTATAATTCTACACAATTTGATTAATTCTTTGTAAGTGGGACAATGGATTACTAAGCCGTTTAATGAACGTATGATTTTTCTATGCGTTCTATAACCTTTCCGATTTTATCGTATGGAAGTAAATTGATCCCTTGTAATTGCATGATTGCTTTTTTTTCCACCCACAAAATCAACTAATTAAGTGAATAGAACTTATTTACCAGTGTATATTCAGCATGCTATTTATAAGTGAAAAGTAGCTGGTCAACTGAGAAGTTTCCCAGTAGTTTCATTCTTGAGTGCATACAGTCATAACCATACATTAATCTCTGACGACAAATTGAAATGTATGTTATTGGCAATTACATTTTGAACGTAGTGATATGATAAATATGTAGTGGGATTCTTATGACCACTAACAACAGTCAGTCAGTCAGATGCAACGTAGAACTTCGTACGTAAGTACATCAGTTCATGTCGCCATACCACATCAGCACAGAGATGTAATTGTCAATTCAAATCCAATAGTAGAAGAGTTAGTACGGGTATTAGAAGTAATCGGAGAGGTTAGGATTAGAAGATATTATTCAAGAAGTATGATTTAATGAGAAAAGTTTAGAAAGTCAAAACTAGAGTTGTTGAAGAACCCAGAAGGTTAGGATTTGAGAGAACACAAAGAATAAATGCACCTGCGCCATTGCGAACGATTTTGAGCCAACTACTAACAACAGAGTTGTTGGATATGAATAATTAAGTAAACCAAAAAAATACATGAAAGAATTTGCAAAAACATGATAAAAAATAAATTAGGAAATGTAATAATTCTGCATATGTTGTATTAAAACATTAAACTTAAGATTTAATCAACAAAGTTGAGCTAAAGGTTCTCAATAGGTGTAATTTAAGAACATACTCGACCAAGCACCGTAGGAACTGAGTGAAATCAGTAGCAATCTTGTTATGAATATCTACAAAGAATTTACACCGAACGGAAATGGCATGTGAAGCTGACACGCAGATCCAGATACACAACTTTAAGTCATCAAGTTACGGGTTCAAATTCGGTTTTATTTATCAAGGCTTTAGCAAAAATGGTCATTCACGATTTCCTAGAGATAGTGAAATCCAGTGGCTTTTGAGGTTAATAGACATGTCTCAGAGTAGAAGCCAGTGGCGGTCATGCTATAACTTCTTTTATTTTCTTCTCATAAGCAAGAGGAACACCTTTAACCGAAAGGATTTCTTCTGACTGTATTTTCCTGAAATGAACTGTTCCTCTTACTAATATTACTATCACTTCACGCTTATAAAGTAACTTCTATCCATTCCTTTTTTATACTCGCTGTTCTTTCTCTATCTCTTCACAACATTATTTTTATTGGGGCACATATATATTTTGGTGCCTACTTGTACCAATAAATTTGAGCGAAACCATAATAATAACTCTAACTACAGAATTATTTTCTAACTTAGTAGATAAACCCATGATTGGTCAATAAACCAAAGTCATTGATTTTTTTGACGTTGTTACATAAGGTCAAGAAATCCGCAAACTAGCAACCAAACTAATCGAATACTTACCTTGTCCAGTTTGTCAATTGAGGAACAAGCTGAAACAAACTTGTCAGATGGCACATCACAGGCCAAAAACAACCCATCAAGCAGACGTCTGTGGTTGACCTTGATAACAAAATCACCTAAATCCAATTCTGAAAGCACTTCGTATATAATTCTAAGGCATTCTACATCCGCTAACATTAGCCCGTAGTCTCCAGCAATATCGAAATCCTGAAAAATGGAAAATCATTTGTGGAAGAATCGAATGATAACTTTTCAATTTATGACTAAGAAGATGATGCCCGGATATGTCTAACATACAACATTACTGAACTCACTGTTAGCAAACGATTATGGTTTGTAGATTATTTAAAAATATGTCAGTTATTACATAGGCTTTACCTACACAAATTGAGAACACGTTTCCTAAGACTCATTAGAATGAAATATTTCATATTATCGCGAGCATCATAGTCTGTCAGTCAGATACAATGTAGAGCTTTTTACTTACGTACGTACATCAGTTCAAGTTGGCACACCACTGTAGCACTGATAGATCGAAAGATCAATTCAAATCCCATAGTAGAGGCAGTAGAAGTATTAGCGGTGATCAAAAAGATTAGGGATCGAAGATATGATTCGAGGTGAGTAAAGCGGTCGGCAGGCTCAACTACTTCACTCCCTATCACTGGTGCGGATACCGATGCAAGCCAGTACTGAAGCAATAGTTTGCATTTCGAGGTGAAGAATAGCAACCCAGAAACGCTTTTAATGTTGCTTAATGCAGACAGAAGACTATATTTCGTCAGCGTCTTCATCATGTAGAACGATGTCATAGGCATATTTTAAGTAGACAAGTAAAATTTCAACTCCCGAAAAGTCGGACGACAAAATTGTCGCCTCTAAAAACGTCAAGAATGGAGAAAGTGGACAAGCCTTACAGACAACCCTTGAAGTTCAATTGAACGGTCTTCGATTGGTAACATCCAGTAACAATTCATTAAAATGAAACTTTGGAACCTATGACTAGCAGCGCACACAGAGCACACCAAAATGTTAGGAATTAATCTTGTAGCCGAAAACGGAAAACAACGAAGCCCATTAGACAATTAATGACCTTATGTCGAAACAAATTCAGAAAGGTACTGAAAAGCGATTATGGATTGAACACAACAGCGAATTTTATAGACTTTAAAAATTAAAAGTCACAGGGATTTACTTACACATTGGTAAAACTCCCGGTAACGACCGCGCGTCATAGCCGGTTGATCACGCCGATAGACTTTCCCAATTTGGTAGCGCTTGATAGATTTGATCTTATGCATGGCAACGTAACGGGCAAATGGGACCTTTTCAGCATAATAAATAATACGTGAAACGTACAGTTAGATCATATCTGAGGGAAAGTGCCTCGCCACCTTGATCCTGAAGGTCGTATATCAGTTTAGATTCTTCACCATATTTCCCAGAAAGCACTTCCTAACTCCTATGAAGTTCACAATTTTTAAAGTTACCTTTAGCTCAAAAACAGGCGTATCGATAGTAACAGCATCATGACGCTTAAAACACTGTATTATTGTATTAAAAACACCTTCAAGTATTGTCATCTGCAAAGGATCACGATCCCTTGTTCCCTATTTCAATCATAAGAGATCTTGGCATTACCTTTGGAACTTTCAAGTTGTACTTCACTTCACACTTTTTAATGGATGACTTGGCCATCTGTTCTGCAATCCTTTGTACCTAACATAAAATATAATTTCAATTTTAAGTACGAAAACCTGAAGAATAGATATCTTAACTGCACTACCAAGATAGCTAATACTAATATGCATTACTATTTTTCTTGCAAAGATAAGTCAAATTTACTTTTGTTTCCTTCACGTCATCAGAAGGCAGTTCAGGCATGATATGTGTAGCGCAACTAACAAATAGCCCTCGCAGTTGTGGCGTTGGCCTCTGCTACTACAATGAAAATCTCTCAAAAGACTGCATCTCCCATCAACTAGCCCACTTAGATCACTTACATCAACTATCCTTCAAATGTACTTTTGGTCTCCTTCAAGTATCCGCCAAGTATTCGCTCTTTTCACGGAACGTAGTATCCAAATGTTTTCGGTTACAGAAGTATCCTCTTGTCTTGACTGATCAGCTTAGAAATCAAAAAATGAGCTATCAGTGCATGTAAACCAAATATATTCGTCCACCTTATTATCATCATATTATTTGTTACTCTCAGGTTATTTAGCCAAGATATACCCGTACACCTAATTTGTCAGATATTACAGTATTTCACTAATCTTTACTGTCAATATGATTACGTTTCAAACTTGTTTGTAGTGAGCTAATAAAAACCAGACAAATTCTCGATGATCTCATCCTTGTGTTAGATAGTGGTTTCAAACTTTTAAACCGTCATCAATAAGGTTTTTAGGTACCTGGTTACAGTTATTTTAATAGCATGTAATTTAGTACTTGACTGGATAATGAGACAGTGGATCTATGATTTAACAACCTTGCAGATATGGTTCGATTAGCCTTTCCGCATTACATCATCTGAATTTTTAAAAGTTTCTGTTAGAACGGAGTTTTCTAAAGCTTTCATGATGGTCTGTTATCTCTCCCTTGATAAATGATGTAAGCGGAATTCGATTAGCACCTGAGTCTCCTCTATCAAAACGTTCTTGGTGCAGTTATAGAGGCCAACGGTGTCTTATGTCGGTTTTATGTGTTAAATTAAAGTAAAATATAATTTCTAAGCCAGCTAGTGACTAGTTCAATGGCTTGCGATCTCACTCCATCTGGTCGAAAAAAATGGCATCAATGAAATATGTAGCCATACAACTCCGTATATATATATATATACATATATATATATATATATATATATATATATATATTCAACTTAAATGTATGTATATATTCTGTTCTAGTTTCAATAGTGTAAATGTTTTTATTATGAGTGATAATTTGTAACACACACTTTATCAGCTTGGTTATATAGTCGAACGATAATAACAAATCGTTAGCAGTCAAAAACATTAAAATAATATTCCTACCTAGTCTGCTCTTATGCGATAATCAATTCCCTAGCCATGTAGATGTCTTTTAACTAGAGGGTAAATTTAGAACATACGTCTTTTACTCTTAATGAAGGGTTTCAAGTCAGGACTTGTTTTGTGGTGTAGTTTGGTGCTTTCTGTAATGTATTTCCTATCCACTTCTAGAGCTTCCTGATTTCTCTCATCGCTGGAATCTAGTTTCTTCTTTCCCACAGTAGGTTGTCGCTGATAGTGTCTGGTTAGCGGGTCCGGAGTATCTTCCGTATACAACTGTTAATAAATACTTGTATCTTCTGGATGATGGCTTTCGTAGTTCTCCAAGTTTCCGCTCCAAACAGTAGGTCTGTTTTGACATTTGTGTCGAAAACTGAGACTTTGATATTTGTTGACAGTTGTTTTGAGTTCCAGATGCTTCCAGTCTGCGCCTTCACAATCTCCATCTGATACGCCTTGTTTTTAAGTGATGGTTCCTGGAAAAGTAAGGGCTTTAACATCTCCCGAAGCTTCTCAGTCAAGCATGATTCGGTTGACGCATGTTGTGTTGTATCGGAAAATCTTGCTTTTCCCTTTATGTATGTTGAGAACTACTGATGCTGAGGCTGCTGCTACACTGGCCGCCTTCTCTTGCATTTGCTGTTGCTTTTGTGAGAGAAGAGCCAAATCATTTTTGAAGCCTAGATCGTCCAGCTGGATCCTGGCTTGTCCACTGTATACCTTCCTTCCCCCAAGATGTTGACGTCTTCATAATTCAGTCGATGACCAGGAGAAGGAGAAAGGGTGAGAGTAAGCAATCTTGCCTGACACCGGTCTTCACTTCGAATGAGTTTGTCAGCTGTCCTCCGTGCACGACTTTGCAGTTTAGTCCATCATAAGAATTCCGTATGATGTTGACTATCTTCTAAGACACACCGTAGTGTCGAAGAAGCCTCCATAATGTTGTTATGTTCACACCATCAAATGCTTTGTCACAGTAAATTAAGTTGATGTAGTGTGGTGAGTTCCATTCAAATGGTTGTTCCACAATGGGCCGTAATGTTGCAATTCGGTCGGTACATGATCGGTCTTTATGGAATCCAGCCTGTTGATCACGAAATTTGGCGTCTGTTGAAACTTACATTACGTTCAGCAATACTTTGTTGAAGACTCTTCCTTGTGTTGATAGTAGAAAGTTCTTCTGACATTCCCAAATTTGTTGAAATCATTCTTTCATATCTTGATGAGGTGTCCCTCTTTCCAGTCTATTTATACTTATTTTCTGCCTAAAATGTTGTTGAAGATTGCGAGAAACATCTGTACAGTTACTACTATATCTGCTTTCAGTGCCTCATTCAGGATGTTGTCTGGTCCTGCTACTTCGCCAATTTAAATATATCTTGCGGCCGTGCTGATATCTTCGATTTTTGATGGGTAATTATTAAATAATAGGTGAATCAGTGCCACTACGATGTTAGGTGGGATCAGTGGAGTTCATCAAAGTTATCTAACTGTTTTGAATTTCTGTGTTGTCACTGAGTGGATGGGTAGTTCTAATTAACCGTAAGTCAATTGGGTGTGCGTGAAAACAGAAAAACTGATGATAGGCAATAAGGAAATCGCAAAATTATGATTGCTGACAGAGTTTTGCTCAATAAAAACAGCGAAATGTTATTTATAGGTGAATTGAAAGTGATGTTGACAGAAGCTAACATATCACTTGACTATTTACCAACCATCATTCACAATGACAACTGAGGTATGGACCGCCAGTAGTATTTCTGATCTAAGTAAATCTCTCGAAATCTTTGGTCTGTTTCGAAGTAATAGGTTACAAGGACAAGGTGGAGGATGCCTCATATATGTCCATTCTAGCCTAAACCCACTCTTATGTGCTATATCGGAAGTAAACGAATTACGAGACTCTGTGTCTATTGTTCTGAAGCCCCCAAATGCAGTTTCCTTACTTTTCGACTGTCTACCGTCAGCCTAACGCACCAACACGAGATTTAGCATTATTCAGGGGACTTCAGCATGACTGAAATCACTTGGTTTCTTAATCAAAGCACCTAAATGATTTGAATCATTTACTGAATACTTAAAGCTTTGATAGTGGACTCAAAATGTGGACGGTCCAACCAGAAATCAAAAGAAAATGCATTTAGTTTTCACCAACAAGCTCATCCCTAATACTGTATATGTTGGAAGAAATTTCCCAGGTAGGGATCATAATATCGTTATATGCAGCCTTAATATAGAAGCCACGACTATAAAACCTAAATCCACTACACTTTGTAGAGAGTTTAATAAGAGTGATTGGGCAAACCTCCGGCACTGCATCAGAAGCATTGACTGAACTAACTATTTTACCGTAAACAATACCAATGAACTAATAAATGTATTTTATCACAACACAAATAATATCTTTAACAAATTTGCACCCTTAGGATCCCGGAGACCCAGAATTTCTAAAGGCCTATATATGCCAGTTCATATAGGAAAACGTCTTCCAAGACATGCTTCTAGACTTCAAAACTGTAATGACTTCTCCTCATTAGTTACGATGAGAGAAATGTGTATCAGAAATGTATCCTTAAATTAAAGTCATTCGGAATCAGTAACCTACTATATTCGTTGTTGGTTTCATTCCTAAATGTAAACCAGAAAATGGTTAAATACAGCGACTGCCTTACATCACCAAGACTTATAACCAGTGGAGTTATCCAGGGAAGTGTATTAGGTCCGCTCTTGTTTCTTATGAACATAAACGATATATGTACAACTATAAAATTTGGAAGAGCATAATCATGTGAGGATCATCCGAAAATAGTATGCAGCTATAAGCCTGAAGATCTCGACAAAAATATGGCCTGGGTTCATTGTGACCTTGACAACTTATCTACCTTGAGCGAAGAATGACAACTAACTTTTAACCACAGCAAATGTGGCATATACATTTTAGTAAGCATCACTATGAAACGCCACTCTACTTGCAAAGATGTAGGGTTCACACATTCATATCATCGTATGATCTGGGTATTTGTTACTCCAGAAGCCTAAAATATGAAGAATATGCCTCTATGATTATCCCTAAATCTAGAGGACTAATGGGCTGTATAAATAAGGAGGCTAAACTTACACTCTTCCAAATGTGTATAAGGCCCTCATTTGAGCACTGCTCACTTACCTCATCAAACATCACTATCATAGACAAGATACGAGTAGAAAATGTCCAAAGAAGCTTCGTCGGGAGACTGTTAGGATGGAACCATACTCTGGACTACACAGAAAGATGCCAACATCTTTCCATAGAACCTCTAAGTCGCCCTCTGTTGCAAAAACAACCAGAACTGCTCAATCAACCAATGAGTGGCCTCTCGTTCGTAAAACACCGCCCAATTATGAGCTATGGCACTGCTTACAGACTTAGAAACAACACGTATACACCACTAACGGCAAAACACAAAAAATCATTTCGTTTTAATTTCTTTGTAACTCGATACAGTCCATTGTGGAACAGAAGACTGATTACTATTCCTAGCTGTGACACAGTTACCAGGTTCAAGAAACTAGTATTGGTGTTGTTAGACTAAAGAGATTTATCAACTATTCCAAGAACTCACTCAAAAGGAAAGTAGTATACTGAAGAGAGATTTACTGGATTCTCTGGTAAAAGGATGACTGAATTTTGAGATTAGAAAAACACCAATTCATCAGTCATCAGTTTTTTGATCGTATGATTTCTAAATCGAGTGAATTTAAGTCGAAGTTTTGGATGGCTGACTGCATCCTCTCATACAATTAGTCCTTGTCGTCTTGATCGTTATAACTGGCAGGAGCATATTGTTGAATAATATTCATTGTAATCCCCTTTTTCTTTGATTTGAAGGATGCCCTGATGATCCTTGGCCCACGAGATTCCCATCTCATAAGTGCCTTCTTTGGATAGTATCAGCGCAACTCC